AATTACTGAAAGCCATGGAAAAATGACAAGGGGGACATTATACCATAGCAATCCCTCTTCCCAAGGTCCTACTCACTATGGCAGCCACCATCCCAAAGCTCCTGTGTCGCTACCTAAATCCGCAGTTGGTCTCTCTGTGGCCTCTACTTCTGTTTGAATTCATGTCTTCCAAAAGTATCTCATTGCTTTCTCTAATATAAATTAATTTAGTCGGCAGCCACCATCCCAAAGCTCCTGTGTCGCTACCTAAATCCGCAGTTGGTCTCTCTGTGGCTTCTACTTCTTTTTGAATTCATGTAAATTAATTTATTTTCCAGTTTTCTTCCCTGCCCAGCAGGACCCTTCATTGTAGTGATTGGGTTTATGGGTAAACACAGAATACTACTTACAAGATAAGATGGGAAAGGCTGAGAATACTTATTCTTGATATATTTGTCCCTGTCACTCCTGTGTGTCACTAGAGTGGGACATACCTAAGTCTGAATACAGCTTTGATCCTCACCAGCTGTGTGACCTTGGGCTAATAACACTTCTGGGCCTCTATTTCCTCATCTATAAAATGGGGATAATTCTACCTATCTTAAGAAGAGTATTGGGTGACATGGGTGAAAGAGCCTTAAAGTTACAAGTATATTGGGCTCAGTTTATGTTCATGGTTATAAGTTCTATTATATGCTACAATTAGACACATCTGCTTTTGATCAGCTAATAGAGGCCCATGTAGAAAACATGGTTATTTGGAGAAGCAGCAACTGTAGCAAACCTAGTTATCACATGACTCAGGATCCAAAGTATAGTAATTCATTAGGGCTCACTTTTTATTATCATTATTCCCTTTCAGATTTTTATTTCATTTTAATTATTCTTAATAATTGTTTTCTATGGTCACATATTTTCTGGATCTGATTTTAGCAAGTCTCAAAGACTTGTGTCAGGTTCCTAGAAATCTATGTTGTTCTTTTAGGCTGTACTGCTCCTTTGCAGATTGACCTGGACAGAAGATTTTTAATCCACATTGTTTTCTATTCTCCCTTCAATAATACTATAGTGTTGTCTCTTAGTGAAACTAAAAAGTATTTATCTTCAAGGTAGTATTAGTGAATGAAAACATCATAATGCTTTTGGTGTCAGTGCTCATGGGTCAGATCTGTATCCCTGTGAGCCTAATATTGGTTGGTTTGCAAAATATTATGATGACAATAACAAAAATTCTAGTGCTCCTAAATAATCAAAATATTCATAATACTTTGTTTTGCAAAATAAAATGACAATAATAAAAATTCTATAATTTTCACTTACAGTTCTTTTCTATGCATATGTGTAAGCTTTAAGTTGTAGTATATCATAACTCTTTACCATGTTGCTATGTAATCATCATAATTAGTATTACTTTAATGGCCATGTAAACATCTATCTTGTTAATGCACTATAATTTACTTAACCTAAATTATTAACAATAGGAGACTGGTGGTTTCCAATTTTTCCTCTATTGTAAAAAGCCTCTATGTTATATATTTGTGCATTAGCTACTTTGTTTTTTTTAGGTTATTTCCTTAGCATACACTCCTAGGAATGGGATCACTGAGTCAAGGAATATGCACTTTTAGTAGTTTTTAAATAAATTACATTATTTTTCCAGTTTATAATGCCATCAGCAATGTATCAGCATTCTGCTTATATTACAACCTTATCATAAGTGTGTATTATTTGATATTTAATACACTAACATAGTACCTTTTGCTTTTGCATTTTCTCAAAAATAGCAAGTTTTAATCAAACATCTGCTTACAAATTGTGCCTTCTCATGATTTGAAAAACCAGTTGATTTGAAAGTCCATTAGATTTGAAAACATAGGTAAATTTTTTCTTTTGCATTAAGAACTCTTGCTGTCCTTCTCTCCCACTGTCCAGTAGTTTTGTATATTAAATAAAATTCATCTTAATATTTTTCTGAGCAAAATATTCAATTGTATTCAAATAATAATTATTGAGGACCCATGTATCAAGAACTATAGGGAGTACCCACATAAAATAATAGAAAAATTAGAAAAATCAGGAAAATATATCTGCACCAGCAGTTCAAGTAGTTTAATCTCTGGTCAGATTTTAATGACTTTCTCTAGTCCCTAACCTGCTGAGCCAATCTGACTTTTCAGCTAGCAAACTCGAGAGCTCCAGCCATGCTGCTTCCAATATTTTCTTCTAGGTTTCATCCCAGGAAATCTTCCTGATGAATGAAGCCCACCACTCACCGCCCTCCATCAAAAAAAAAAATTTACATCATCTCCAAACTGTTCTTGCTCCAGATCAAGTAAATACATGAATCCCCGTAATATACGAAATCGTTTCCCAAACTGTTGCCCCATCCTAGGGCTGGATGCCAATTCCAGAGGTCTGGTTTTGCCCTCCCTTCCAGGCAACATCTCCATTTCTGAGATGCATGTCTTCCGTGCCCTGCAAATGGCAAAAGGACATTCCATGAATACTCATACAAGCCACCATAAATCCACCCTGGATCCACGTAACCATTATCTTTGTTACAGCATTCTCTTTGACCTAAGGGTGTTAGGGTTTGTTTGCAAAAGATAATTGCTACAGAGCAGTATCTGGGAACATAAAGAAAATGCCTTACCGTGTTTCCCTCTTTTTCTTCTTGCAGCCTCAGCCGAGGGTTCTCCATAAACACGGTTAGCCTTCCATGCTGCTGTCCTGCCAGTTGATATGAACATGGCCTGTTCCTCACAGAAAGACTAACTCACAGCACTGCCAGAAGATATCCTTGGAGCATTGACAGATTAACTGGATTAACTGAAAAGAAAACACCCATTCAGTCAAGATTATGGGCTTTGGAAAAATCTTAGTTTGCTGTGGATTTTAAAATGAGGTGCATAGTATACAGTGCCAGCTCGTTCCAAGTGGTCATTGGCAGACCGCTAGCTGGAAAATTGCTTCCAGTTTTCATCACTGTGCATAACTCAAGTTCCCATTGGGGAGCTGTCTGTGCCCTTCACTAGGAGTCCTGTTTTAGCATGGCAACTACTGGATTACTTTATTATGTGTGCAGATGGCATGATGTTTTAGAAAAAAATTACAGCAGTTCTGCCATCTCAGTGGAAGTGTTCATAATATTATGCTCTGGTAGGAATGTAAACATGTCTCGATTATGTTAGTTATGATGTCTAAAGGTATTCTGTCCAACTCTTAAGCACTTTATAGGAGAACACTACACTGAGATGAATTAGCATGTTCAGCACATGTGAGAAAACAAGTATTTTCTTTTTTATTTTATAAATTTTGTTTCAGTTTCTGGCTCAGACTGTCCAAGACAAACTCCACTACTAGCATAGCCCCAGTCGTTTGTGGTAGATTGGTGTAAATATGGCCTCAATACTGTTAGACTTAACCTCTTGACACTTTACTGAACAACTGGAATACTTGTAGCACCAAAGGGAAGCAAAAGCAGGCCTGGTGATTGTAATATCTTAACTCTTGGTTCCTTGTACCCAGGCACAACTGACCACATGCACATACAAGCACTCAAACACAGCAGGCTTCTATTTGGCCAATGTACATATTCTCTCATTCTATAGAAGAGATCCTCCAAGGAGCAAAGGGGGTGACCTTCTTTTAATCAAAGACCATGGTGAGTTCGTGGTAAAGGCAGAAGAATGCAGTTTTCCTGTGTGGTCTGACTTTAACACTTTGGAAAAATTTCTAGGACAAGTTTAAATGACAATTCTCCGAACAGAAAAAAATATCAAGTGACCCCACTGTGTGCCTAGAGAAATAAAAGGGTTCAGTCTTACACTAAGGTCCTTCCTCTGTATAGAACCTATTAGCCCCTTTTAATCCTTTCTGGGATTATACCCATCACTAATTATTTTTTTACTATGTCTTACAACAAAGCACAGTTCCGGTAAACCTGTCAATTCAGCTATTTCTTGTCTTTGAGCACTGGAGAAATGTTCATACTGACTGACCCCACATAATGCTTTAGACTTTTTTTCCTTGAATACAAAGCACAGTTCCGGTAAACCTGTCAATTCAGCTATTTCTTGTCTTTGAGCACTGGAGAAGTGTTCATACTGACTGACCCCACATAATGCTTTAGACTTTTTTTCCTTGAATGTATTAAATTGGCTAAATCCAAAACTCAGCAAAGTGTGTTCTGTGTACCCACTAATCCCAGCCTGGGATTGACAGGTATCAGAGGCTTTTCTTTAAAATATGTGTAATAATTTCTGGAACCCTTCCAGCACAAGCAAGCTTGGCATTTTAGGGTATTTCCAGATACATACCCATCTGCTTCCTCTCAGGGTCTCAGGAAATGCCCAGCCCCTTGGAAACCCCCCTCACTTGAGATTCGGAAACCTGACTGGGAAGGGGAGAGAGATCCTAATGGGATTCAGGTGAGTCAACAGCAGAATGTCTCACCACAAGCCTGTGAGGCTGTAGAGTCAGAGAAGGGGGCTTCCAAGAGGGAGCTCAGAGAAGTTTCAGGCACTGACCACGATCTGGCCTTTCAACAGGTCAGCACTGGGACTGTCCCAGCCTCAGCAAACCATAATTCTCTACACATCTAGAATTAGGAGGCCAGAACCGAGCTGCCAACACCCTGGACGTAAAATTCCAGTCTCTACTGCCCATATCAAGGGTCAGTTCCGGCAGCAGGGCTTTGTCCTCCTTTCATTCCTTCCTTTATTCAGCAGGCACTTTATGAGCATCTTCCACAGGCCACCATACATTGGACTAGGGCAAAGCGGTGTACAAGGCAGATTGTCCCTGCCCTTATGAAACTGTGTCTCCTCCTTTTGCCAAACATTACCACCACCCACATCCACCATCTACAATGAAAACTTAATTCAGACAGTATTCACCCGCTCTGCCAGAGTGACCCAGGAAAATGCATGTGACAACATGCAGATCCTCAGGGAGTGAGCAGCAGAGGAAAAGGCAAGAGACAGCATCAGGCCACATATTTGCACCTTTCATGCACAGCCAACCCCCCTCCCCCTTTCCCCCGGGCCCAGATTGAGCTGGTTAGAGCTTCCCAAAGCAGCTCTCAGTTGCTTTACCTTGATATCCACCCTGGCCACCTATGTTCCTATCCTTCAGATAGGCACAACATTCACTATGCTGGACTCTCTAATATTCCACTTCTAGTCTAGTTCAGTTACTAGTCCTGGGGACACAGAATTGGAGGTTAGAGCTTCCCAAAGCAGCTCTCAGTTGCTTTACCTTGATATCCACCCTGGCCACCTATATTCCTATCCTTCAGATAGGCACAACATTCACTATGCTGGACTCTCTAATGTTCCACTTCTAGTCTAGTTCAGTTACTAGTCCTGGGGACACAGAATTGGACCTAATAAATTCTAAAGAACTACTGCCAGGTGCTGAGATATTGTAGCTGGGAATTAACTGGTTTAGTCAGGGTCATTCTGAGACTACTGCTAATACCCTTGGAAAACTGGATATGCCTTATGGTGCAGATGTTCACTTAATGACAGTGGTTCATTGTTTACTTTGGCTTTTGCAAAATGTTCTGAACAATTAAGCAGAGTTTTCTAGGTTTTTGTTTTTTTGTTTTTTGAGTCAAAGGAGAGCTGGAAGATTATCAAAATATGATGGGTGAAGACGGAAATGGGAGATGGCAGAAGGAAGACCATTAGAGTCCCAGTTGAAGATGGCGTCTCTAAAACTGCCTTAATGCCTGGCACAAACCACATATTTGCATATGAACTACTACTGTTTTCCAAACTGTCGACCTCTGTTTGAAATCGTTTTGGGGGATGGTTTTGGAAACATGGTGGCATAAAATCTGAACAGTCAAGAGCTAAACCAGCAAAAAGGAGAAATGACTTCATCTGCAGCCTTCGCTGCCTTCGTCCTGTGTTGATCCTCTGTGATTTCCTCCTACTGCCCAAGATGTGTGTATGAAATTTTACCTCCCAGAAAAGCAGAAATGGCTGTGGTGAGTTTTGTTTAGTAGGAAGCCAGACATGGGAGGTAAGGGATAAATATTTTGATGTCTAAGGGCTGTAAACTGTTGATGCTTAACTTTTCCTTTTACTTAAACCTGTGCTGCACCTTTTATGAAAAGGCTGACACCCACACTTGTGCAGGGAAGACACTCTTGGGAATAAAAAGAAATGAATAATTATCAGACTCTCTAGGTGCCAGGGGGATTAGTTTGTTCCAGCTCCAGAACTGAATTTAAAGATGCAGAGCATCGGCTGTTCTGCTAGGGTAAAAAGCAAATCACTTCAGCAGTTTGAGAAAAACCTAGGGAGACAGAGACCCTATCAACTTTCCTATGGGTAATGGCATACCTTCAAATCCTGCTCAGGCTCTGTGAGGTGTGAACCCACAGATTTGACTTCTACCTCCAGAATACTGGTAAACACGCCAAGTTTCTCTCCAGAGTCACTTCTCAGTTGCCCAGACAGAGGCTATTTCTGAGGGAATTCTGCCATTTTTAACATTAAGGGGAAAAGAAATATGAAATGTATGTGAAAATATAAACTAAGGATAAAAACGTCTAATGGATACCCTGCCCCCCACCCCTTCTGTAACTTGCAAATGCTTTCTTTGTCTGCAAATATCACATAATTGATTTTGGATAGAAACAATAAAAGTCTCAAGGAAGTAAAGTTTTCAAGCCCCCTTAGCACTTCAGTTTTACTAAAACCTCCTCTTTCCAGTGCATTGCATTAGCAACTCCATTCTTTGTGATGTTTTCCTCTGCATTCTTTAGAGTAATTTTTTACTTGACAACTAGGCTTGTCAACTTTTTAAAAATCTAATCTTTGAAAATGACATAAATTCCTTTATTTCCTAAAGGCTGTTTTTATTCACCTCTCCCACAGCCTCCTCCATCCCACTTCTTTTGCTTTGTGTTTTTTTAATTTTTTTCTTTTCATCTCTTTCTTTTAACATAGTGCTATAGGTAGATCTCAAGGATTCTATAAAGAACTCAAACAGGAAAACGTAGTCGTCACCTTTTTCCCTCAATCCTGAGTAATAATTCCTTCTTAAGCTTGATCTTGGTGAAAGCTTGCTGCTTCAACAGCAGTAGGGCATGGATTCTCATCTCTGGTTGGTGACTGACTAGTCAGTGCTACTAATCAAAACAAAGCCCATGCCATCAGGAAGGAGGACAGGCTGAGAGATGGTTCTACTTGGGGCACAGCTGGGGACTCTATTACAAAGACAGGCAGGTCCTGCCCCTTAGTCTCCTTAGATCTGCATCTAATCCTGTAGCTAGAGAATTGTCTTATGAATTCTGGTTTACATGATTCCTGGTTTTGCTGTATAGCTTCAAGGGAAAAGAGGGCTGTGTTTCCATTGTTTTGCTCTGGTGACTTTTGTTATCAGGGAGCATTCTTTTGAAAGCTGTGGGAAGCTTGGGGAAAAGCTGATCAAGTAAACAGGAAAGTTCAGCCACACCCTAATAAAAAGAACAAAATAGACACCTCTCATTTGGGAAGGTGGCTGAAGGGATGGTATCAGGCTGCCTTCTGGCCATCACCTTGGCTCCGCAGGTAAATTTCTGGGCAGGGGCAAGTGCTGTTTCTAAAATCTAAATTTTTTAGAGTAGGGCCGGCCCGTGGCTCACTCGGTAGAGTGCGGTGCTGATAACACCAAGGCCCCGGGTTCGGATCCTATATAGGGATGGCCGGTTTGCTCACTGGCTGAGCGTGGTGCTGACAACACCAGGCCAAGGGTTGAGATCCCCTTACCGGTCATCTTTAAAAAAAATAAAAAAATAAAAAAATAAATTTTTTAGAGTAGAATTTACCAGTGACAAATGTAAAGAGCAATCAGGCATGGAGCAAGTTTTAGAGCTCCTGCCCAACAGCAAAATGACTGAGAAATGCACCTACAGAGCAGCAGAAAATGGGTGTAGAGGGCTTTGTAAAACTGAAGTTTCATTTGCCATGCAAGGCTATTTTAAAATATTAAAGCACTCCAAATACAATAGCCCATTTTTGTGTTGCTATAACATAGTACCTGAAACTGGGTAATTTATAAAGAAAAGAGGCTTATTTGGCTCACAATTCTGGAACAGCAGCATCTGGTGTGGGCCTCAGGCTGCTTCTATTCATGGTGGAAAGTAGCAAGGTAGCTGGTGAGTGCAAGGTCACATGGCAAGAGAAAGGGGGGGAGGTGCCAGGGTCCTTTTAATAACCAGCTCTTGTGGGAACTAATAGAACAAGAACTCACAACCCCTTCCCCCAGGGAGGGTATTAATCTATTCATGAGAGATCCACCCCCATGACCCAAATACCTCCCAACACTGCCATCCTGGGGTCAGACTTCATCATGAGCTTTGGTGGACCAAACATATCCAAGCTATATCACCAAATAATCTTACTTCAGAGTTTCCCTACCCCAATTATACCAAGCACTAGAAGGTACCAATAGCATATGCTTAACATAATGTAAAAGGAACCAGGAACCGTCTGACTTGTGCTGAACTGCAGTTGGCCGGTTGACATATTGCATTGCAGATATTTAGACATTATTTCTGATCACACAAAATTGCTTCTATATTTTGGAGGCAATGGTTTGGGAATTATATTTGGTTAGTTGTTTGGTGGTGGTGGTTATTTTCCATACTTCAGACATTTCTAGGAGCCTTAAAAGGATCTTAAATCCAGGTCTTTTTACCTAATGTGCAGAATGTTAGGAATAGCCCAACTGACATGAACAACAAAGAGACTATTAAATTAATCCAACATTGGCGGTGCTAGTACCTAAAACAATTAAAACACTGAGGACTCTGCTGGTTGCCTTTCACATTGTTAATAGCCTTTTAAAATTCAGTCATTTGGATTCAAGGAAATAAATGGTCGCTTTCCCATGGTTTTGCCACATTACTAAATACACAGCTACCAAATGTGAAATTCCAGGCTGGGTTGATGTCCAAGAGCATACAGATCTGTTTTATGTAATTGTATTTAATCACCGCCCCTCTCAAATTCTGTAAAAATGTATTCAATTACTTTATGCTTAAAAAAAAATTCTAAACCAGGCGACTCTTAGATTATTATTTTGCTTGGGGTGGGGGAAATGATTTTGAAGGAAACCTTAAAGAAAAATATTCTTGACAGGAAAAATTGCTTGAAGAAAAATTTTGACAGGAGTGCCTGGGGGTTGCTCCCGTCCAATTCCACAAACTGATGATGGTCTTCTCCCAGTTCCTCAGAGATCATCCACACCTCTAAAATAGCACAAATACCATGAAAACACCTTTTTAAGCTCGAGATAGACTCCCCATTCAAGCATAATTCCAAAAATATGATTTGGCATTTGAGCACTGCCATAGTCCTTGATTCTATGATCCCTGAATCAATTCTAATTCTTTATATATATTTCCAGTACTTTTTTAAAACCACAATTAACTGCATTTAGTCTGTTTGCCCTGGGACCTGCCTGCTGACTCTGTGGTAGCTTTTGACAATTCCTGTCTAGTTCCCATACGGTGCATTTGAGAGAAGACCAAGGATGTGTTTTCCCACATACCAGCTGCAGAGGTTTTGAAGTGTGTGGCCCAGTTCTTCACATCAAAAAGGCCCCTGGATGCAGGTGGAAACCTTAAAGAGATGTGGGGTGGTGGAGGATGTTTATGTTTGAATGCTAGAAGCTTTCTTTGTCTTTTCATTCTTACACAGCTCCCATGATGGACCACCAGAAGGGGGAGCCTCTTCAGTAGGTGATGACCCCCACTGGGTGTAGGAGGGGTTTCACTTTCTTAAACTCACATGGAGGCAATTTTAATGCTCTCTGAGGCTCTGAGTGGTTTCTCCACCACTACTTCTCTTCCACCAGTAGAGAGATGCTGTCCTTACAAAGCTGTGTTTGAGAAGACCGTGGCTTGGCTAGTGAAAGAAGCTCACATTGCAGAGAACTGCATAATACCAGGCTCTTGACTTGGCACCGTAAGTCTCAGTCACAACTGGGACTGAAGCAAGTAGTCTGCTGAAAAGCCAAGCCAGCACAAATGTTTTGAAACTAATTCCACCAAAACTCTTATGTCACTAAATCATATTACTGTAGTTTAAGTTAATCCAACTATTTAATATCATTAGGCACTAAATTAAAAAGCTTTGTGCAAAATTTTAGAAAAGATCGATATTGTAACAAAATTACATATTAGCAGTAAAAAGCACCTGAGAAAAGAAAATATTGATCTGTTGTGGTTTATATACTTGAGTTATTCTTAGGACTTTGTGGAGATTGGCACTGCTCTGATAAAGGGGAAGGAAATGTTTTGAATGCAAGAATTCTGGACTAAGAAAAATCACCCAATCTCTCCAGGCCCTGGCTCTTCTGTTTGGGATGCTGTCTGTCCCTCCTTAGCAGACAGGGTTGTTTAGAGGCTAAAATGAGATGAGGAAGGAGCTGTCCTGTACCACCAATATGTGTACAGGCCCTGGCTCTTCTGTTTGGGATGCTGTCTGTCCCTCCTTAGCAGACAGGGTTGTTTAGACGCTAAAATGCGATGAGGAAGGAGCTGTCCTGTACCACCAATATGTGTACAATTAACATGGTGAACTATGTTATGGGCTTTATTGAATGATCTCTTTCCCTTACTTGAGACTTTCTCCTCAAAGCTGTTATTACTAAGCCTCCATTTAGGAATTTAGAGAAGAAAAAGAAATAATGATAAGAAAGTAACTATCAATGTTTTAGACACACACACACACACACACACACTTTTTCCAGTGTATGGAGGCTGGTGTGCAGATCCCAAAGCCAAGGTGTTCATTTATCTATCTCCGCTTCTCCACTTCCCAAAGATTTCGAGCACCATGACCTCCTGGGGGAGAGAACCTCAGGCTTGGCTTAGTGCAGGAAAAGACCGTCAATCCCCGGCTGGAGAAGACCAGTGAAAGTGTGAAGTTGACAAATTGAGGGTCACACAAAGCAGAGAGGCACATTGAATGTTCCTGATGAACAACTGCATATTAGTATTTGTTATAGGAAAGAAAGGGGAAGAAAAATCACATAATGTGAATGGAATGTAAGACCAGTGCTCTTTATAGTGTTTGAGGGGGAAAAATCTGATGAAAAAAGCTGGTTCATTCTTTAGCAAACACTAATAAACACGGCTAAAAAGCACATTTCATAACACAGAAGCCTACATAGATGGGAGACATTTTTATAGCTTCCTTAAGTGAGTTGTTAAACTAGTGTTCTGAATTCTGTTGGTCTCCCAAGAGTGATTAATTAAATAAGTATATTCTTTATTCATTGCCCACAACTGTAATTTTTGTTTCCGTTATGCACCCTAGCAAAACTCCCAGGACCAGAGTTAGGAGGACACAATCAAGTTATGTGGTAAAACAAGAGTGCCTTCTCTGCTGGATGTTCATATTAGTTCCCTGGGTTCCCAGGGCATAAAATGTTTAGAAACATTTTTTCTCTAAACATAACAATTATTGTGCACCACAATTTTGAACCACTGATGTCCGTATCTTAAGCAGCTATCAACTTGCCAATTTCCTTTGGGTCTCCTTTATACTTTCTTACAATGTTTTCTTCTCTTTTGAGTTGTCCTTAAAAAGAGTTGGGGGCATGATTCTTTTTAAATTGATGAAAATGAAACTGTACAGATTTTTGCCCCCTTGTATCTGTGAGCATGATCTCTATCAGGCTTGAAAATCTGCTTTCTCATTTTGTATATTTGACTCTTTTGTATTCAGCATTACTTGACTCCTCATGTGCATGGTGATGTATTAAAATGTGGGATTTCTATTACCGTGTAAAAGTGTTTTGATTCTGATTTTCAACATATATCCTTGGAAAAAAAATTATATTAAACTTTTATTTCTATTTTCTTCAGCTCATCAGCTTTGCAGACGGAAAAGAAAAGTTAACAGCATTTCACTTTCCCTGTGTTAGCTAATGATGCAGTTCGTGGTGGAAAATTGTCCTCAATTATGCTGTGTTTCCTAGAGAAATAATATATGTGAAATGAATTGATGGCCTCCCTCCAACTCCCAGCACACAGAATTCCCCCAGCACCAAATCCAAACAAATTGCTATTACCATTGAACGCATTAGTGTTGAGCACAGCTGGACAAAAGACACAATTCTCTGCATCACCAGATACGATAACACACTGGAAAAAGATGGGACAACAGATCTTGGCCAACCAACTTGCTCTCACTCTAGAGTCTTAAGTGCTTATAATAGCATGATAGATGGCGTTTCCCAGCACCTCCTATCTTCATCTCTCTCAGGCAGAGACCAAGCGTAAGCTATCTATATTTTATCAATAGAGACACTGACCTTCATATAACACCTGCTTAAGAGACCTGGGGTTAGAAACCAATGTTCCCAGACAGATTTGGCATAACCAGTTCTCCACCTCAACAAACATCTGAACACCCTCCATTCTCATCCACACATTTTGAAAATGCCAAAAATTGTTCTCAAACTTAAAACAATTCCCTGAATAATGCAATGCAACAAATATAAACAACAGACCATTTTACCTGCTCTAAGCTACCATTTTCATGCTTCCCTTTCTCAAGGAGACATCATAATGAGTACTTACAGACACTATGACTTTACTGAATATGATGAATTGCCTCACCTAGTACTGGAGAAACACTCCTTTCCAGGAAAGGAAAAAGCACTTATAAATTGCATAAAAAAGAAAGGAGAGAGCCTTTGCCCTTTTTATTGTATATTTACTGTAAATCTAGTATTTGTTTTTGTTTTCTGCAAAAGGTTTCCAAAAACAAAACTGTGACAACCTTTTAGGTTAGCTTACTGATTCAACATACAAAGCTTCTAGGTCTCTCTACATACCTTGTAATTCTAAAAGCAAAATTTTCTTCCACTTTGTCTACAGATTAAGAACGCGAAAACTGGAGCAATCTTTTTGTTAGTTAACCTCTTTAGAAGACATTAAATGGAGAGCCCCCAAACCCAACATTCTCTCTGGTCCGACCATTCCTTCTCTTCTTGTCTCTTTCTCTTATTATTTTACTTTTGTCTGTTAGTCCTCTACCTTTAAAGTCTCTCTCTCTTTCTGTATGCTTGTCTTGATAACCTTTCTCTCCCTCTATCTCATCTCCTCTCCCTCCCTTTTTCTCTCCCATCTCAGTCTCTCTCTTTCAACCCATTTACCCTTCTCTTTTCTTTAGAGCACAGCACTCATCTGATGTGTATTTGTATCCCCATCTCTTGGCGCATTACAGTTGCTCAGCAAGTGTTAGGGGAACTGAATTGAACTTGGTGCCACTTTTTCCCAGCTTATATTCCTCCTGCCTACTGACCCTAGCAACTCCTATTAACACTTAAACACATTAACTCATAGTACTAAGGACTAAAGCCAGATGTGTTTTCTGATATAGGTGAAAGCTTTAGGTAGCAGGTTCTCCCCAAACCAGAAGTAGGCAGACTCCTCTATATACCACTTTGCCAATACAAAGAAAAGTTTTCCTGCCATCTCAGTGTTTTGGGAACTCATGCTTACCTGGGTAAACATGATAGGTATATTTGGATCAAGGACAGTGATGTCTGTGAGAAGTTCAATTGAGGCCACCAAAATAATTTGTTGACCTAAGATTATTCTTCATCTTATAAAATCCTTTTGTGAGACCTAGTACATGTGCACTGCAGTGCTGGATGTCTTGTGCTAGAGAGATTCTAAAATGCAGTCCAGTTTCCTGTTGATTTATTTTGCCAAGTGCTATCCCTGGTTAAAAAAGTTTCTCATAGTGATTATGAAATCATTAGGATTGTTAATATCTTCTCATATATTTATTCATAAGGTATATAGGGATATGTACATTGTAAAATAGCTTTCCATTACTTTTCATAAATATTGTACAAACACTGAAAAATCAACTAAAAAAAGTTTTAATAAAAGCAACCACTTTCTTCTGTGTTTGTATAGCACTGGGGATATGTCAGGCGGGAGGGAATAATCAGGATTGTACTCCGCTGTTTCCCAGATGAAGATGTCCCTTTTGTCATGACAAATGGAAAACTTGCCTGGGTTCTATTTTTCTCTCGTATACCTCTCCTTTTGTTACTGTAACTCAAATATTATTAGACCCCCCCCCCCATGGCCCAGTCTTTGCAGCGAAGTCCATGAGGGGGATAAAAATGCATATTAAAGTTTCATCAGGTTTTACTTTGTACTTCATGAAACTTCCAAATTTTTTCTCTCGTATACCTCTCCTTTTGTTACTGTAACTCAAATATTATTAGACCCCCCCCCCATGGCCCAGTCTTTGCAGCGAAGTCCAAGAGGGGGATAAAAATGCATATTAAAGTTTCATCAGGTTTTACTTTGTACTTCATGAAACTTCCAAAGCAGAGGGTATGGGTGTGGGTATGTGTTACACAGAAAATATCTTAAATATCCTTTTTCCCATCTATGCCATTCTCATATCCTCTACTCAGAAGCAGCTGCTTCCTGCCATTTCCATTCTTCTCTTTAGAGGAAAAGCCCTTCTGATTCTCAGCCCTTTTTATATAATTTTTCCACTTTGGCTTCTCCAGCCCTGCTTTTCTATACCTGTTGCCCTGATTCTGCCTCTCAAAAGTATACAAACCAAGCTAGTAAACACTGGGTTTTCTTTAGTGAGTGCTGTAGACTGGATGCGCTCCCTCCCAACCCCACAACCCCCCCCCAACTGCAGACATCACTGAAGCTTAACCCCCAC